TCAGTTCAGGATCTTCCAAAGGTGTACCATGTGCCTAAACAAAGAAGAGAGAATATAATAACAGAATAAACACTTGTGTCAGAAGGTCTCAGTATGGTAACAAACAACTGAAAGTAGACTACAACTACAGTATTTGCGTTCAATCAAACATATTATGTGCACAATGTTAACTTCTATTACAATTTCAGCAAAGTCAAAATTCTGCAAAAGTGACATGTATACTAAAGATTAGCATGGTTGAATAATGGTTACCTTGTTTAGCCATACAGCAAACCAGACTGTTCCCAGAGAACCAGAGGAGAAAAAGACTGATGGCCATCCAAACTTATTTCTTAACAAAGGTGAAAAGGCCAGACCAGTAACTGAGCCAAGATACATCCCACTGTATACTAGAGCTAGTGATCTGCTTCCTCCAGCTACAGGAAGCCATTTTGACAGAATATTATTCATGGCAGGCATAGCAACACCCTGAAACAAAAACAAACCTTCAATTACTTGCTATGGGGATCAGGTCAATACAAAGTTGAAAAAAACTAAATAATAGTTACCATCCTCTCTTGGAAACAGGTTCTACCATGGAATTTTTGAAATAAACATAATCACAGAAAACTGAAGGTATGGTTGTTAGAAAAGAGAAATCATATTGTAAAGAGATTAATATTTAATAGTTTAAATTACATATTAAAAATATAATTTACCTTATAAATTGTTTAAAAGGATTTTTTTTTTTATTTTGTGTCTTAAAATGTATTTATTGCACATTTATAAAAATATACATAGAAAATAGTAAAAATTAGTATTAATTTTAGTATCAGATGAATTTAATTAAACAATTAATAAATTAAAAATTAATTTTTATTTTTTCAATATAAATTTATAACAAAAAAATATTTAATACATTTTTAAGTTATACTTTAAAAATATAGATCAAACAAACTTCTTTTCAAAATATTCTTAATAAAATTGTATTAAAAATAATTTTATTAAAAATATTTTAAAACATTTATAACATAAAACTATGTTTTTAATATATAATTCCTGGTATAAAACACATTTTCCTATTGTAAATTTACAGCGAGATTGTGAACTAACTTGTAAATCGATTCAACTTTTTAGTCTTTTATTCTAGACTTCTAGTGGCATTTTCGGAAGGTTATTGTCTAATTAAAAATAAATTTAATATGGTCGACGCTGGTGGTGGCCCACATTATCTGGACAGACGTTGTGACTCCTTTCATTCAACCCCCACGATTTCTGCAAATTCGCTCCCCAACCTTCGTTTCTCTGTTTCAAAAAATGAGGAAAATATACCATAATAAAGAATCACAAAATGAAAACCTGCATACCTCAAAAGCTTTGTCTCTTTTCCAAACACCATCTTTCCAGTCATCAATTGAAGACCATCCAAAAGTTGATCTATGCTCTCCCTTGAAGCAATGTTCAAGCATTTTATATTTGACTTCAAAGGCAAGAATTGTTGAATCAAGCCTATTTAAAATTAGTACATGATCTCATTAAAAAAAAAAATGTTAGTGCATGTTAATTCCTTGCAAATTTGAATTTACAATCATCTCCTCCTCTTAAAATCTAATAACCACGAATAGCTAAGAAAAAGAAAATTTGAAACAAGATGAAAAATACCCGTGTCAATCCGTTATATCATATCAACTTCCCATCTCAAAGTTTTATTGCATTTGGTTGTCCCTATCTTCCAATTAAAAGAAGTTGTTCCTAACTATGAAACTAAAACATTGTGCATGGTTCCAAACTCATCTTATTAACATAAATAAGTTCCATTATTCATTATTTCAAGCTTAATATCTAACAAATTAAGCTCATAATCTTCAAGCAAAATAGCTCCAAATGTTTTGCCTACACCAAATTCAATTTTACTAATCTGTCATTCTTTGTTATCATTAACATAAAAGAAAAGAAATTAATGCAAAACCTCTATAATGGATTTCGATTTTAAAGTAAGATTGAATAATAGAGTAAAAACATGAGTGTGAACATTCTTTGTCGTAGGAAAAGAAAACAATTCAAAACCAACAAAGATGGAGTTATGTTAATATGTTATAAATTTTAGAGTCATGAATTGTAAATTAAGTTGAACTCTAATAGATTTCAAATCAATCTAATCTTTATATCCATTTAGTACATAAGTAGGGTACATAATTTGAAAAAAAAATGTATAATTATATAGTTTCAACTCATCAAGTTATCAACGTCCTATTTTAAATCAAAAATAAAATCCAATACAAATTATTCTTTCATTATGAAAATCATATGCTTTTCAATTATGATATGTAAGAAACAATAATATCCATTTTCTTCATCAATCATTGTTTTGTTTAGTCATGTCTTTAGACTCAACCATATTAATGATAACTTTTGAAATTTGCCAAATTAATACTCTCCAAGCCAAATTAGAAAGCAAGGATAGTTTTTCAATTAACTAAATAAATTTATAAGTTGGAATCAATAGCCATTATAGTTCCATGAAATGGATAACATTAGGTATTACATAAACATACCTTTGAAAAAGAAATGCCTAATACTTCTTCATAATCAGTGGCCAACATCTAAGTTTCCTTTATTATCTTCTTTCCTAATTTGTGTTGCAAAACATTCTAAATGTCAAAATAAGGAAACACTTATTATACAATTTCAGCCATATACAACAATTATGCATCAAGCATTATGGTCTATGATAACAAAATCAAAATTAAAAATTAAAAAAAAAAAAAAAACCAATTAACAAATCCCAACCACCTAAGTTGAAA